TCAAGCAGGTCTTCGGCCTCTGTTAGTGGTTGATGAATATTAGTACCCATGATCAGCAGCGTTGCATCATGTGCTGTAATGTTTTTCCATTCAATCATAGATCTATAATCATTATTGTAAAGAGGAGAGGACCAAGGACTGATCCTTTCGGCACGCCGTATGAGAGATGGCCAACGCTGGAAAGGGCTCCTTGCAGATATACAACTTGCTTGTGGGTCCTCAGATAGTTTGAGAGCTCTTGAGAACAACACTACCAACGCCATATTTGCCTAGCTTTAGCAGTCGGATATCATGAGGTACAACATCAAAAGCCTTACTTAAGTCACAGAGGCTAAGCTTCACAGACTCATTCTGCTCAAAAATGCTTCAGAGATGGTGTCAACCGGGCTCAGCAGGGCAGTGGTGGTAGAGCGGCCTTTTTTTAATCCGTGTTGAACATGTGAACAGGCTATCGTCCTCAAAAAACAACATGAGTTGCTTCTTCATCATGGTTTTGAGTGACTTTAAAAAATACAGGCAGAATCGAAATAAGCCTAAAGTTAGATAGGGTTAGAAGCATCACCCATTTTGTGGACAGGCTGTTTTTAATAATAAATCATTAAATGAGCCTTCACTGAGACATTGATTAATTTAATTAACCTAGTGAGATGCACAAGCACAACTAAGGTTTCTACAATAGTCTTCAGGGTCATGCAGGAAACTGCATACATATCTTGGTAGGATCTCATTAGTACCATTTTCCATGTTGTTAGTGTGAGTTTTTGTATTTATTGAGGTCAGGAGGTTCGTTTGTAAAACAGGTAGGTTAGAGACTATGAATGACCTGCTGAACACTATTTACAAAAAAATATTAAAATCATCAGGTGACGCTTCAGTTTTTAGTACAGGCCTCTGGATAGGATGCTTATTTATAAGATGCCAGACTGCTTTACATGCATTTGGAGACTGCATGATTATCCTAGCACTGCAGGCTCTCTTGGCCTTAGTGGCCTCAAAGCTGTACTATTTCTTAACCCTAGTGTACAGGTTCCTAAAGACCTGAGATAGGCTACATGTTCTGGCAGGTTAGCAGCCTTGTAGTGATCGTGGAAAAGTTCAAAAAAAAAAAGGATAGCATTTTGGCTAGTTCTGTAGTAAACCAGTTTTGTTTATCCTACAGGGAGCTTTACTTTTATCTCCAAGCACTTTTTTGGGTTTTATGGTCTTAAGAGTAAAGACTGAGTCAAACTTATTGGTAAACAAGTACTGGAAGGTAGAAAAAGCAATTTCAGGGTCAGATAGCAGGAGTGATTCCCAATTTACCGCTTGTAAGGCACTACTAAGCAGAGATAGATCATTTTAATCAATCACTCTCTTTAGAACCTGACTAAATCTATTCGAGAGACGAGGAGTTGCTTACCAAGATCAGTTGAAACACTTAAGACAACTGCTCAGTCATGGTCGGCGACCATAGGATGGACTACTTGGTCCTCATAATCTCAGGAGTCGAGGTTTGTGGCAGCCATGTCAAGGCCTCTAGGTCTTCTAGTTGGTTGTCTGGTCGTAATGAACTGTCCGTAGCTCTGCAGTAGGTTGTTTCTTCACGAGATGGGGTGTACATTAAAGTCACCACAAACTAAAAGTTTTTTGTTCATCTGGTGAGGTAGATCAGATTTTGTTCGAGGTGTCCGGGGATCTATAAATGGCTACCAGTATAGTTGAAATTTTGGCAATCTCCACTGCTATCAGTTTATGGGTTAGCTTGACACAAAGCTTTTCAAGGTTCAGTTTACTGCAGCCACACTGGCTTGAAGCAAATATTTTATGGCTACACCACCATTTTTGTGGCTATTTTGAAAGAAGATAACTAGATCTAATGTGTTAGTTAATGTTTGACTACAAGCACTTTCTTCCTGCACCAGCCAGTGTTCAGCCACTCAAAGAAAATCACATTTGGTTTCCTTGACAAATAGTTCAAGCAAATTTATTTGTTCTAATTCACTGAGTATTCAATATTGCAATATCTACACGGTCTGACCTTTTTCCAGTTTCTGTTTTATGGTCGGGGATAGTTTGGTTGATAGCAGTTTCTTCAACGGGATAAACATTTTTAACCTAGGCCCAGTTTCACTTTCACAACGTAGCCAAAGAATAGGTCTAGGAGTCTAACGTTAAGGAGATGGCTTGCGTGATTAATGATTACACAGCTATCTTGAAGGCTTGAATGACTTATATATGATCCGAATCTTGAGCTAAGATCAACGCATTCACTCTCGACCACACCTTTGTATTTCAAATATTGGAACAGGCTATTTTAACTGTCATCTTTCTGTCCATGTACACCTTTCATTTTTGGCTCTACTCCTCCTACAGTATCATTTTTAGATGCAAGTATACCTCAAAATTGAACTGAAGTGGGTTTTGTAATCTTAATTTTGAGCAGTAACTACTAACTTCTTTCCTTTTCCCTTATTGTAACCGTATATATTGGTGATTTATGCATATTAACAGTTAAAAGTATTGTCCAATAATCCATGTCAACGTTTCTTAGATATATAGGCTAGTAGTGATATTTTTGTCATGGGTCAGAAATTTCAATTTTTGATGTTAAAGTTCTATAGGCTATTCTATGCATTTGGTCATCTTTCACGGTCCAAATCTTTTAAGTAATCTCTAGTGACCGCTTACATGGAAACACTAATGTAGGCCTATTTATTAATTTATTGTATTCATCATGAAAACATGAAAAATTGTATCCAGGTACGTAAGTCTAGTATAATATTATAAGTATAAATTTATTGAAGTCAGAACCTATAACTTGATAATAAGAATCACTTGTTGTCATTGAGCACCAAAGTGTATGACATAATCAACATGTAGACGTTAAGCTGATCAAGAAGTTATTTATAATCAACATTTATCATACCCTATATGAACAAAGATGAAAATACAACCCACAACATAGCTTGTAGGCTTTAATAGGAGGACAGGGTGAAATGCGAGTGACGATGATTAATTCTCTGTGGAAGTTTACCACAAATTCAACTATTGCAGGAAATTTTGATGTGTTCTCAAATGCAGATGTTCACAAATCCCTTGGGCTCGCGGAAATGTCTACAATTTTTTTTTGTATGATGGGTAACAATGATTATCTCCCTGCAATTGTGTGAGATAATATTTAACGATAGTACTGCGATCTTGGATTACAGTCACAAAGACAATGAAGAGTTCAATAAAGACCGAAAGTTTCTGAACAATCTGTTTCCAAAATCTGGAAGAAAATGAAAACCCCGCCCCGAATTAAAATGGTGTTTGAATACCACCCCGCCAATTCCTGGTATTTTATGTTTGATTTGATAGATTATCGTAACTCTACAATTTGTCATTGTCAAGCTGTGAATGAGCATGTCAAATTGTAAAATGCCTATGACATTAGGGGATTTTTATTGCAAATATTTTTCAGGTCACACGCCAAACCGTGGACCTGATGATCCAGGCTACTCAACCTTCTGGTTCCTTCATGTGCTTTGTATCATTTGTTCAATTGTTTGTGTTAGGTTTAATGTTGGTTTTATAAGAGATTTTTTATTTGAATTTTAATTTCCATGTAGGCCAGATGTTTATACTCATCAAATTAATATTAACTCGTTTATCCTTTAGTGCCAAAAGGCTATACAGGGTCCGGTATGTAAACAGCCAAACTCCGGGAAATGGTTCTATGGGTCATAATAAAGAAAAAAATCAGGAATAAAATGTTTTCCAAAATCGCTTTGTTAACCAGATATCCGCCATTTTGTCTTTTTCACATTAACATTTTTATCTTTAAAGATTTTCAACCGATCATTATGAAACTTGGTATGTATGTTAAAGTAAAAGAGACCCATGTTAGAAAAATATTCACCTCGATTCAACTTAAAATTTCAAAATGGCGGCCATTTTAAATTTTCAAACTTTAATTAGGTACTCAAAAATGGCTGATTTAATGAAAAAAATGTCAAGAATACTTTTATTTAATTCCCTATCAAACGATACAAAGTTCAAAAACATTGAATAAGAAATAGCTTAAATATTACGACTTTTAGTTTTAAAATGGGGTAGAGTAGTCATTGAATAGTCATTGAATAGTCATAAGACATTCTATACCAGTACCAATTATAATACTTAAGGCAGAAGCTCAGGTTTGCCCCATTTTACAACTAACAATATTAATATTTCAGCTATTTATTATAATTATTCTATCTTTTTGAACTTGGTATTGTTTGATAGGGAAATAAAAATGCTAAATAATACTCCCGCTGCAGCAAACCTGCTGACTAAGCGAATTTCCATATTTCTGGCTTGATTTTAAATTAATCTATTAAATTAACATTTATGTTTAACGAGTAGGCCTACCTAGGTATGCTGCTACAGGGAAACTAATAATGTGTGTTTTCTTATTAAAATATTAATAGCTTAGTATAAAATAAATAAATCTGTCAAATTTGATTAAAATATATCCATAAACAAGCCAAATAAAACATTTAACAATATTCTCCATAAGAATAACATCACTTATTTCATAAATATCACTTATTTTGTAAATAAAAACACTTTTTCATTCATTAATCTATTCATTCACTAGCCTGTATTATTATCTTTCTAGAGATGCACCAATCTGTTGTCACTTTCATCGTGAAAACAATGGAAAAAAAACATCACTCTACACTAAAAAAATAACAAAACGACTAAATGAGTTTTAGGGCAAAGGTGATAATCAGCAAAAGGTGTTTATAGCATTTGCAGCATTTTAGGACTGGTGTGTAGCGGATCCAAAGTCACTGGACGGCTGGTGCTCAAAGGGTCAAACGAGGGCTAGTATGAAGTTATTACTACCATATATTTCAAACGTCCATTCCATGGAACCAGCTGTTCTTAGTAATCTGGAAATTATTCATCCCACACATATTTTATCTGCCTATATCCCTCAGTACGCATAGTGGTTAATTGGAGTTGTAGTTGGTTGAATATAATCTTTCTTGCAGATAAATGAAAGAAATCGAGAAGAGCGATTGAACTCACCTCATAGTTGGCCTAGAGAAGAAAAAAGAGCTTCTCATGTACAAGACTATGATAGCCATGAAAGTGGGCCCAGCCACAGTAAGAGGCGCCACCGTTCCAGCCCACACAGGTAACCGGGTCATCTATACTGTCCAGATTTTACTTTTTACTATTACTCCAGACTCTGGGAGTATTTGGAAAAGTCAAGTAATTACTCTTAAGTAGAGTACTCGCCCACCCCTACTAAATACTCCTCCCCTTCTTAATAATTATAATGTACAAATAAAAATAACTGAAATGAGCTCAAAAATTTTTGATTTTTAGAAATTTTTGTACCCACATAATTGAAGTAGAATATTTAAAATCCAACTTAATACCTTCACATGCAAAGCCAAAATAACCTTACAAAGTGTGTGTTAATGATTAATTTTGTTTGTGGCTATATGGTATCTCTGAGAGTGTTTTATCTGTACGCAGGACTACTCGTAGCAGCAAGTTGCGAGAGAGAGAAAGAGCATCTCCTGGTAGCTCCCCTAAAGCAGGCCCCTCCTGTGACGACAACTCTGGCTACAACAGTGGAGATGAGTATGACTCTCGTCGGCTTGGTGAGATTACCGAAGCTGAATGGGTGGAGGTAAGAGAGCATTAGTACAGGGTGAGGCAGTGAAACCGTCATGATGGGGTAATGCGAGCACGGGGGAAATTATATATTTTATCCAAACTATGAACAGTGTGTAGACCATAACAATTTTAGTTCTTGTATAAAGTGGTAGAACTAAAGTGCAAGTTGTTACAAAGCAATATTTAAATTTTGAGAACTGACTTATAAGTAGAAAATTATGGTTTTACAATACCAACTAGTCTTCAATGTGCTCGATCACGTGGCAGCCAACAGTTTTTGTTCTACAGTAGAGTTTCTACTGTACTCTATTAGCCCTGTCATAAGAGTATGAAATAAATTTCATGTTTTTGCCTTTACTAAAAAAACCTATGTATTTTGGAATGAGAATATTATATATTTTGTTAATTTGTTTTGAAAAGGCTGAAGTCTGAAATATTGATCAACAATTGCAGAAAGATAGACTGTTTGAGAAGAAGATGCGCAAACGAGGACTGATTGTGAAGGCTATGGGAGAAGATGGAGCTTGCTTGTTCAGAGCAGTTGCAGATCAGGTCTATGGAGATCAGGAGATGCACGCAGTTGTTCGTAAACATTGTATGGACTATATCGTAAGTCTTGCTTGTAATTATATTATTTTGTAATAAAGTTAACTTTTGACGAATAATTTCTCTAGAACCCCTAACATTAATAAAAATCAACTATTTGGAAAGTTAAAATACTACTATATTCAGGAAAATTTATTATGCACAGCCTTTTATTAAACCATAACCTGTAATGCAAACCTTTTAGTGAATTTCCCATATAGGGAATAAGCTATTATCCCCTCATAGCCTCATGAGTCATTGGTCTCATGGTAAGACCTGGGCCTGAGACCGATTTGCTTTTTCGTTTTGAGGTCCCCAGAGGCCAAAAACACCATCCGTTCAAATTCATATATTTATATATGTGTCCGTTAGCACGATAACTTGAGCAAAAATGATCCGATTTTGATGATCGGATAAGGGCCAAGCGGTGTCCGGGTCCTGCGGTAACCGATCGGATACGCTCGACAATGCCTTTTGTATCTTCGTTTTTGCTCCAGCGTCGGTCGAAGGCGGACCCATACCATGTTAGCCTGTAGAGAGTGACTTGCTTTTTGTTGTGGTGTAGTTTGGTAGTTTAATTTCTCTGTAAAATCCCCGTCTGGCAAGCTTAAAATCAACTTGTTGTCCCGTCTTTTTCCCTCCAATTAACAATACAATGGGACCAGCTACATTCCTAGCAGTGCTGCTATCTGTGGGTGTTTAGCAAACTATGTCGACTCTCGTCGTAAAGCAGGACATCACCGCACGTTATTTGCTATTTGTCAGACCGAAATTTGAAAGCCGATCACCCAGCAATCAGGTTTGTTCGACGCTGCGGGATGTTGGCAGGATTTGTTGGTACGCCTGCCATTAGATGGGCCGCAGTGAACGTGTTAAACAGAAACGCGACCCTAGCAGCACCCGATGGAACTATCATTAAAATTGTCTCAGCTGTCCCTTAAGGATGACAAATCTACTAAGAGGATGCACGTTTGATCTATATTATTATTTTTCAACAAATTATAGCTACAGATTGTGAAATACATAAGTGATTAAAAACTTGAAACCATTTGGCTACTTCAGCTTTTTTCAAGATGCAATAAAAAACATTGAATAATTTACTCTATAATATAATAGAGACATATAATATTTATACTGCAATATGTTCTAGGCTGCCAATGGTGACTACTTTTCTCAATATGTAACAGAAGACTTCTCTAACTACGTCAATAGGAAACGCATGGATTGTACCCATGGAAACCACATAGAAATGCAAGCCATGAGCGAAATGTACAACCGTACTATCGAAGTATTTTGCTATGGAAAAGGTATGTGTAGACCATATTTAAAAACTATTTTGCCTTTCACACATTAAACACTATGCCCGAATATAGGTCGGGGTGCCTCCAATGTAGTTGTGAGCAAAGCCCGAGTATGGATCGGGCATAAATATTTCTTTTTTACAAATTTGTTATTTTAGGCCTAGTATTATTATGTTTTATGCTATATATTATTATTATTGAATTAAATATTATGCTTTAATACTTTATACTGAAATGGCGACCATATGTATAATATATACAGGATATGCATTATATAAAAAAATTATAAATTTTTTGAAAATTTAATTCAGTAATAAAGTTTAATTTGATCTAATAATAAATTAAAATATTGTGGCCAATTTTATATGAACTCTGTCATAACTTAGCTATTTTTCTTTTTAGAATATTTATTGCTTTTTATAAAAAATTAAAAATACATTTTTTTATCACCCTATAACATATTATATTTTCTCAAAGCTCTTGATTTCCTATTTAACCCTTCAACGCGTTACTTTTTATATGGCTGACCGCCCCCTCCCGCGGGACTTTTCCAAAGCTTTCACTGGGACCGTTACATGCTTACATAAACCGTCAATAATTAACTTATTTATACATATATTTTATTATTCTTGCACCAAGTTAAAGAGCAGATTATAGGCTTTAAAAATATATGATTGAAATAAAAGTTTGTATGTGATACAATAGTTACATACCTCTTAGAAGTTAATTTTTGAATGGTAGTCTTTGAAGCATGCTCCAAGACTCAGTCCTGCTTCACACTTGGGACATCAATATCTGCTATCTCTTCTTACTCTCGGTTTTTGCACATACACAGTACCTCTTTTGTGCATTTACTTTACTTCCTGTAGGTGGTATCAGGTAAATGAAGTGCCTTTCTCTTTCTGTTAGTCTAGCAGGTCTCGGCTGAACTGAAGGTCTTCCGAAAACAGGTCTTGGTACTTCAGGGCCATGGGTCTCAAAAAGCATCTTTATAAGATCTAATCGAAAGGCTAGGTGGTCAATTTTCTGGTTATTAGATTTCCAGATTATAAAGGAATTCAATATAGAAATAATTCAAAAGGCGTTTGAATATTTGTACGTACCATTTCAGGCCCCTTTTTCTCTCCAGCTGATATGCCTGCAGCATTTGGTCCCTCATATCAACTCCTCCCATTTGCTTGTTATATTCATCTGGCTTCATTTCTTGCCTCCCATCATTGCTAAGTCTTTTCGCGCCACTTCATGACCATCACATCTCCACTGTGCTTTACTACAACTTCTCCTTTTTCTAATTTTTGACTTTTGATTTCATCTGGAACGTTTTTTGCTCAGGTTCTCGCGGAGGGCGCTTGGTACGCGTTAGTATTGTGTCTGTAACACCAGTCTATAATTGTAGTGTAGGTTGGTAGTAAATTTCCCTGTAAAATTCCTGTCTGGGTAGCTCAAGAAATCAACTTGTTCCGTCTTTTTCCCTCCAATTGGCAATACAATGGGACCGGCTACGTTCCAAGCAGTGCTGCTATCTGTGGGTAGGAACTAGGAACTACGTCGACTCTCGTCGTAACGCAGCACATCACCGCAGGTTATTTGCTATTCGTCAGGCCGAAATATTTGAAAGTCAATCGCCCGGCAATCGGGCTCGTTTGACACCAGGGTTACGCCTGCCATTAATAGGCCTTAGCGATTGTGTGTTAATTCTATAACATTTAAGCTTCTCAAACAAAATATCATGATAATGAGTTATATATTCCTGAAAAACAAGGCACCCACAGTAGATTCTCTTTTATGATGTCCAATAATTTATCAAGCTGTCTTCCACTGATTTCTCCTGAAAATTATATTGTAGCTTCTCGTCTGTTCTATTAATTTGAGTCGCCTTAACTGCCCTTCTTGCCAATTTTGACATTACAGTTTTCTTTTATTTACCTGCAACACCGTTGTTTGTTATCAACATTTGCCTATTACATGAACATTTTTTAATTGAGCAAATAATAGTATGTTACTTTAAAAAGTAATGGAAAATCCAGAGTTGTTTTGAATACAAATTGTAAACTAATAAACATAAACATTTTCTAGTTATGCATGTTCTTTAACTGCTAAATACTGATTTTTAATATCTGTTCAAGATCCCATTAACATTTTCCATGGAGTTAATAAGACGGACAACGAGCCAATCCGTCTGTCATATCAACGTAACAGCCACTACAACAGTATTGTAGATCCTCACAAAGCCACCATCGGTGTAGGCCTCGGACTGCCAAACTTCAGTCCAGGAGGAGCTGAGAAGAGTCTCATCAAAGATGCCATACGTCAGAGCGAAGACTTCCATATTGAACAGGTTAACATCTTATTCATTTTTCCTGTCGGACTCTCTTGTATTATTACTCAATTTGTAGAACTATTCAGGAAGTAAGATTTGTGTTTAACCCCTGAGGAGGCGCTTCACCAGTAAAACAGGAGCGGGTGTATGCAGAGTTTTATTCCGCAACACTAAATAGCATAAATTTTACCCATTTTACTTGTTATAATGAAATATTATATGTAAATGTTGAATAATCTAATCAGAAACCTAATTTCTTTGTTAATAACATTATTTGTTTAACTTTATATGATTAATATTTCAAATAATTATATTGAGCAAATTTCTAGTATAAAAGTATGTTACGAGAGAGGGCGCGTGCGGAGTTTTATTCCGCGATAATGCAATTATACATATACATGCAAACAAAATAGATTTGATAATAACTATAAATTAAATGGTAATACATTTAAACATGTTTATAATTTTGTATGTATGAAATATAAACACAGTTTGACAATAGCGCATGAGGAAATAAACTCTGCGCTAAGCACTTACGCGATAGGGCGCACACGGAGTAAACCTCTGCAAACTGACACCGCGTCACTGAATTGCATCTGACAACAAAATGAGGATGAATTCAGGGGTAAAAATAGCTTAGGGGCATTCCCAGGATGAGGTACGTGAAGTGTAGAGCCAGACATGACTGCCGACACCCATTATACATATTTATATTAACAAAAACTACAATTGCGGAGGAAAACTCCGCAAGCGCCCGCTCGATGGTTAATTTAGTAGTGATACAAGTTTCGCCAAGTTTGAGTACAACTGCAGGAGTGCTGGGGTGTCAGAATAATGTGAATAGTGCATCCGTGCAGGTGCCGGCTAGAAATGGGGTTAACAGCATGCCGGGTATATGTGAAACAAGCCTGTAGTCCGATTTTGATGAAATTTGGTATTGGGATACTAATCCATCGTATCTCCCGGCATATTTTTTTTCTTTTTTTTTTCCCATAAAAACCCATAAAATAACGGAAAAATCAAATGTTCCTCAAAATAGCCTTAACGATTTTGATTTAGTATGGTGTAGCCCTTTAAATTCTGAACAAAATGGTTGAACTCCCATTCCTGTAGAAATTACGGTTCAAAAGTTATTGTGACTTGTGTCATCCCATTTAAAAGCCCATAGAAAATCATATTTTTGAAAAAAAAGCCAGTTTTGAATTCTTAACAACATGGTGCAATCCTCCATTGCTGTAAAAATTACAGGTCAAAAGTTAATGACAATTTTGTGATTTTACCTATTAAATATAGTTACTCTCATTGCTTACCAAAGAGAAAGTATGTGTCATTGCTGATACCGTTTATCTTTACTTATGAAATAAAAATTACTACCGACCACAACGGTGCAAAATATTTTAATTCTTTTACACAGGTGAATGTGGTTTAACGTTAAAAATAAATTTTTAAATCTTTAAATTATTGAAAATCCGATTTTAGTGCAAAATGTTCTTATCCACATGAAATTATTTTTTACACAGAGGATACGCGTCCGGCAACCAGACGTGGATTAGGCGTCCGGTAACCAGGCGTGGATTAGGCGTCCGGTAGGGGGTCCCGGAACGCCATTACCACAATGATACGATGTTCAGCCATCAGTATTCGTGGTGTAGTGGATAGAGTGCTCGACTGATATGCGAGAGGTCCCCGGTTTGAAACCCATCGGTATCTTTAAATTTTTGTCACAGATTTTACTTTGAATGTAATTTCTTCTTAACTGTACATCTTTGGTTAGAATTTTCGGCATTTATAATTTTATGTTATGAAGAGAATTGAACCTTGATTTGATTTTTTTCACTATCAGCAAGTTTGGTTGGTTAGGTTAGGTTATGACAGTAACTGCCGGACGCCTAATCCACATCCGGTTACCGGTCGCGTATCCTCTGCGTATTTTTTAAAACTCACCAAGATGTAATAGTTCTGTATCGTACAAGTTCTGGGACTCAAATGAACTACTATCGTACTACCGGGTGGCTCGACCGTACACTGTTTGCCCTCGCCCTATCGCTCTTATGAGCTGATCCGCCTCGACGATAACAAAGCTCGACCCTCACTTGAGGAGGAGAATATTCTTTTGGGTCTAAATAAAATATTAATTCTTTGACGAAAATAATTTGATTCAAAATAAACATTTTGCAGGTTTTAAACTATAACGGTATTTGAAAAAAAAATTTTCCAAAGCAAAAGTAAAACGCTCTCTATAAAATAAACCCTTTCCCTATAACCACTAGGATGACTATTAGTGTTGAGAATATTCTTGAATTTTCTGATATATTGAAATATTGAAACAATACACAAAAACCCCCTTTGAAAACCCTTCAAAGGCAAACCCCCATTTGACCCTTCAAAAACTTTGAAAACTACACATCCTTGATCTATACCGTGAAGAGTTTTCTTACTTATTATTTTAAAATAATTACATGCTTTTCACAATAAAACAAATTATTATTAACACAAAATTACAAAATCAAATGCTTTCTATGTCTAGATGCCTATTTTACTGCTTTTCAATTCATTCTTCATTGTTACATTGTTGTACTAATAAGATTAACTCTAACATTCTTCCATTATAGGCAGGCTTAACTAACAATTCTATGTTACACGAACATATTTTATTCTTATATAACTAGTACTGTTATGATAACACTTATAAATTTACATTTAACATATCCTTGATCTACTATAAAAATACATTACTAAGCTTCAGACATGTACACTCATTTATTTCATGGTGAGGTAGCCTCTGGATCACTAAATTTAAGCTAAATGGTTTAAGTTACCTGGCTTCGTCAAGTGATCCTTCTTCAGTATTACACTACTATAGTTTCGGACTTGAAAATAAGTCCATCTTCAGGTTAACAAAAACGTCAATAGGTCATCTAACCAATTTGGTTAGATTCGTCGATACACTTAAAACACATACACAAACACAAAAAACACAAAAAAAAAACACAAAAAACGAATATAATACTGTAAAAACTGGCCAGTGTAATTAATCACGGGGGACACAGCAGTCATGACTCATCTTCCGGCGTCGCCACACGTGTCCCCCGTGATTAATTACACTGGCCAGTTTTTACAGTATTATATTCGTTTTTTGTGTTTTTCGTGTTCGTGTATGTGTTTTAAGTGTATCGACGAATCTAACCAAATTGGTTAGATGACCTATTGACGTTTTTGTTAACCTGAAGATGGACTTATTTTCAAGTCCGAAACTATAGTAGTGTAATACTGAAGAAGGATCACTTGACGAAGCCAGGTAACTTAAACCATTTAACTCATTTATTATTACGTTTTCTTACCACCAATAAATGTTCAACAAAATAAATGCTGTAGTAGATTTATGTATGGTATATAGCTCTCTATACTGAATTTTATTTGACCTTTTTACATTTACATTTTAGCCCTTGAGCAAAAAAGGTTGGAGACCCCACTGTAGATTTTTTACTTTTGTTTATTAAAGTAGACATCCCATCTATATGGGATATCGACAGAATAGGATGATGGACCGGCTGTAGCCAACTTTTTACTAAGAAAGAAAATACTGTTGTAGTTAAATGAGCCAGTCGCAGATTGTGCTTCAAAATTCTATTCCTACAGTCACTAAGTGGGCTTCCTTGCACAGATAATAGTACAGAAAGCCTTACTTTGCCGCACATTTTTTACTTTGGCACACAACAGTATTCCACCAAACAACACAAAACAGCGTGCTTTTATTATGCACGTACGCTTGAAAATAAGTTGGTAACACTTAAAGATATTACGACTACGATCAGCTGGTGCAGCGTTTCCCATTTCATTCAGTGTTTGGATTTAACCTAACCTACAAACGAGTTGTACAGTGTTTGAAAGACTAATTATTTATATGATTACTAATTATTTATTTAGTACAGTAGAACCCTGGTTAACCGAACTCTGGCTAACCGAAATCCGGGTTATCTTAAACGTTTCCATAAAATAATACAGTGCTAAAATATAAGTACAGTAATACATAATTTAAAATGCTTTTAGTAACTTCAGTTGTTTAGTTTAAAGTATTTTCTAGCCCATTGTAACATTTCTGTAGCTGAAATAAAAAACTGTATTACATAGACATTGTTTAAAATTCATTTTTCCGACTCACCGTGGTAATACATAGGCTATTTTTAGCATATGGCGGGTTAACCAAAAAAACGGCTCTCCCCCCTATATTTCGGTTAACCGGGCTTCTACTGTAACTGTAGGAAAAATATATCGTCTAACACGAATACTGCCTTTGTTGCACTCGAGAAACTTTCCACACTCGCCTATGCTTGTGCGTGAACATTTCTCTGGTGTGCAGCAAAGTGCCACTTGTGTAACTAGTGGGCGAAGTGCCACTTGTGTGCACACCAGAGAAATGTTGTTTGGTTGGAATACTGGTGTGCGCCAAAGTAAGGCTTTCTGTACTATTATCTGTGCAAAGAAGCCCACTTTGTCGGGTGACTGTAGGAAAATAACTATTATCTACCATTCTTGTAGTTACTGTAAACTTAATGTGACATAACAGATGCTATAGTTTACAATACCAAGTCTTTCCAGTTTGGCTTGGTTTAAAAGTTGACTTATTCAACAGAAATCAGTAATTAACATTAGTGCACTACGTCAATGGCTTAGTTCAACTGTGTTCATTTCAAGCCATTCTAAAACATTTACAAAGTTGACATGAGGGTAGAATTTGTAGTTATATTAATACAATGTGGTGTTCTAGGTAGCTGTATTAGGAGTGTGATCAGTGATAATGATTCCATCTTAAACAAAGCAAATATGGTCATTTGTCATCCAATGAAACATCCTCTCCTTATCTATTTAATTTCACTATAATATTTTGGTCAGGTCATAATCACAGTAACAAATAAATCAAATAGGGTAAAGTAATTTGATCAATTCAGATCCAAAACGTAATAAAATGCAGTTGTCTTATGAACATAAATTTTTTTAACCTTTTGATTTTAAATTTATAATACTGTTCAGATCCAGATGTGGTGTTTTGTATTTTGAATCTGTTTATCCTTCATGTTTGATAGGTGTTGTGTCAATGTTACAGGCTATGTTGGAAGACAAGCTACGAGCTACTGACTGGGAAGCTACCAATGAGGCTATAGAAGAGCAAGTAGCACGTGACAGCTACCTGCAGTGGCTGCGGGATTCTGAGAAACGAGACAAAGCTCTAGCCAGAGTATGCTTACCACCTAATACTTTTAGTAGACCACAAAGTCTAAAACACAAATTTTGTGTTAGTTGTACTAAAATCTAAAATGTTAAAAACTTTCATTTTAATTCGCCTTTTCTTGGTCTGGCCCGTGTTTATGAAAAGCACGTTACTATTATTGCCATTGCCATTTAAGCCATTGCTATTATTGTTACTGTTAGTGATGTGTCGATATCAAAATTGATCGAATCTTGATACCGATAAAATTTTTTTATTGTTCAACCAAATTTTCTGAATGGATTGGTTATACTACACCAACCCCTGTCTTAATGTCCTTCCATCAGGTATTTTGGAGGTATTGGGGTGTTTTTCACGTGAAGAAAAAAAAGCAGCAATGATACATTCCATCTAGCCAATTAAAGTTCAAACCATTCTAAACTCATTAAAAAACTAGCTATTTTAAAGATAAATTAAGATCTTACTACAAAAATCAAAATAAAAATCATATTTTAAAGGTGTGCTGGACTGAAAATCTTTGTCCAAACTCGAGATAATATCAAGATCGTCATTAGCGGTCGAAAAGAGATCTCATCTTCGTCTTTTGGGACACTGCAAAATTTGAAATATCTTCCTCAATTACAAAAACATCTTCACTGTCTTTCGCGGTTGCGGAAAGATCATGAACATCTCCCGCATTATAGACATCATCATCATCAACTCCTGTGGTCGCAGAAACGTCATTGTCATCTTGCGTGATCGCGGTGAAATCATGAAAATGTTCTGCAGCCGTGTAGACATCATAATTGACTCTCGCGGTTATGGAAACGTCATTGTAGTCGTCCGGTATCGCGTCAAAATCATGAAAATTTCCCTCGGTTGTGTAGTCGTCATCATCGTCTCCCGCAGTCACGGAAACGTCATCTTTGTTTTGCGTGATCGCTGCAGGATCATGAACATCTCATTCAGAAACCACCAACGTTAGGCCTAATCAAAAAAGAAACTCCCTACAAAACCTGCAGCTTATCACGCACGACCTATCACCACGGCCTCCAATCATTAAAGACAATCTTAAAAGACAGTTTCAAAATCCTCAGAGCATCCCCACACATTAAAGACTTCTTGGAAAACCTTCCACAACTACATTCCGACAACTAGCCAAATTAAAGAAGATGTTAGTTCTCCCGAAACTACCAAAGCCTAACAAAGGCCAAGATAAACCCATAGAAGGCTCATTCCCATGTGACATGGCAAGATGCAAAACCTGCCACATAAATAGGCCCAGCACCATTTACAAGCACATCAACAGGAGAAACCTTCAAAATAAAAGGACACAATACTTTGTTGTAATGAATAATGTTGTATATCAACTTCATGCAACCATCGTCCATCTCAATATATTGGACTTACCACCACCAGTTTTAGAACAAGAATTAACAATCATGGGACAGACATAAAAAACAACCAGATAAACCAGTGCCTATTCATGCTGCCAGCCACAATATGCAAGATGCACTTTTCGATTGAATATGTAAAGTATAACAGTTGTTTAAATTCAAAAATAATAATAAGATCCTTCTCCCCCCCCCCCCCCTGTAACCCATCACAACTACCAGGGAGCAAAATCCTTGGTTCGCAAAATCCAGGGAGCCCCCAAACCTCAATCTCAGATAGGCCTAACATTTACCATTTCCCTTTCCACCCCTAAAAAGCAGGCTTAGACTAAGTATAAATAAAAATTTATGACTCATTTAACCTGTAAATATTCATTTGTAAATTCATAGTGTGTTGGCAACACTGCTTTCTTAGGCAGGGTGCACACTGGAGAAATCCGTTTCATGAAACCAATGTCATGAAACGTGAAACTTTAGTTGCTCGCAACAGATGGATTAGTTTAACACACGGCAGTGCACACTGCATTGCATGAAACTGTAATTTCATTTGTTTCTTGCAACTGGTTTACATGAAATCCAAAAAACAGATATCGTTCAGGCTTCAGATTCACGTTTCTATTGGTTTTATTGACTTGCCTCAGTGTATTGTTATTTTTTCCTCAGCACTCAGAACTAACCTCTGGTTGGTGTCCTTTTTTATTAGTGGACTAAGTAATTCCACCAAACGTTCAAAAAGAGGCTTTGTCATTCTAAAAAATCTAAAAATTTTACAGGATCACTGCATAATTAACGAGTTACAATGTAAGTACTGTGTTGACCATCCCTAATCAATGGGTGAACCCAATACTTCCTTCTTTTCGTCTTCTTTAGCCACCACCAATATAGTCACATCATCATTATCCAAATTCATATCACGAAATCCCGTTTCTTCTGTGTGCATTTGTTAAAGAAGTGGTTTCCTTGAAACCAGTTTCCTGAAACGGGTTTCCTGAAACGGGTTTCTCCAGTGTGCCCCTGCCTTAGCAGTGGAAGAGTCCAAATATCTAATGTGACTCTCCATGTTGAGAAAGGGGCCAGTGGCCTCGAAATATCCAGTGTGTAATTTATTGGATTTTGTGTTTTCTTCTGTGTTCTGTAGTGAATGAAATGGGATGCCTGCATTTCTTAAAATAAGCCTGCTTATCCTATCCTTTCTCTCCCCTATTCTCAGGCAATAAGCCCTTTCTCTTCAAACCTAACCATGTAAGTAATAAATTGATACTTAACAATTTGTCTGATATGAATACATTTATTAAAACCCATTAAACATTTCAATGTTCTGGATAACTCGACAACCCCAAACTCCATAAGAATAACATGGGACTTTAGAGTTTCCAACTTTTAGAATTTTCTCCATACCAAAACACTCCAATATAACCTACAGTAATAGGTCATTCCCCATTCCTTGTAAAAATGTAGGCATCCCACTTCATTCACTACAGAACACAGAAGAACACAAACAAAACAAAATAAACACTGGATATTTCGAGGCCACTGATGTTGAGAAAGGGGCCAGTGGCCTCGAAATATCCAGTGTTTATTTTGTTTTGTTTGTGTTCTGTAGTGAATGAAGTGTGATGCCTACATTTTTTAAGGTAAGCCTGCTTATCCTATCCTTTCTCACACCTATTGTTTGTAAATTGATCTCTTTCTTTGTTCCATTCCATGTTTCCTACCCTACCTGTGGATTACTGAAATTGTAGATCAAGTTAATTGCAAGAGTAATGAAGTGAAGTGGATAGAACCCTTGGATGTAATCGGTATCATGAACTCTTACCACACAGAGACGCAAGTAGCTCTTGTAATACTTTTTACAACCATATTTTTAAGCTGTAGTTTTTAGCTTCGTAAAATAAAGTACTGTCAAATTTTGAAAATCTTGCCATGCGTTCGTCTGGGCGTTTTAGTAAACCAAGCAGTCTGAGATATTTTTTTTCTATTAATAGTAATTTTTATGTCATGGTGTGTCTGCACTGTTCATCCAGTTGTATAAGGCCATTTTTTTTTTTCGGAACTAATCTTCCATTCACAGTAATGCTGCTATAATACTGTTATAAGAATTTGATGTTGAAACAGTATAATGCCCTATGTTATACTAGAGGTGTGTAAGCAGCTCAACTTTTATGTCGAGCCTAGCCTAAAAGCTCAAGTGCACTAAGCCAAAAAATCACTTAGTGCAAAAGCACTAAGTCAGAAAATCAAGCATTTATTCTTGCAACCGCAGAACTCTGGGAAATTGCACTTATGAAAATTAACAATGTCTTCACAATGGGGGGGAACAATGGTGATATCTCCAGGATTGTGGGCTGCTTGGTGATAGTCCACTGTACAATTCAATTTGATTTGCTGTTTCAGTTTAATCTAATATTAGCTTATTTGATGGTAAAATTGTATTTATGTTTGTCCAGTCCTCCACGGCCACATCTACATCGGCTACAGTCACTTGTCCCTCGCCTCGCAGTCCTCGCTCCCGTCACAACAGTCCTAAACATGACGGTGGAGAGTGCAGTCAGTCTTTCAATCTCATAGAGTCTGCCTCCTTTCTTAACATTGTACCCCCGAGCATGTTTGGTAAGAGTTGTGTCTGTGTTAATAGTACATTTTACGATTGTTTAGTTAAAACATTTGTGCTGCTCTGTAGCAGCCTATCACATTAAAATGTTTAATCCGTGTTTGACTCTTGTCCCATGATATGCTGGTTCTTTGATTTACGTTTTGATAAGGTTCTCTAATGACCTTCATAAGGTTCCTAAATAGGCTGTGCTGACTCTGAAACCTAAGTCACAGTATTCCTTTAGCCTACATTTATTTTAGTAGCGAGAAATATTTAGTAACTTGCTGGTTGGTAAGGAATTTGTTGGCCTACTTCCACTGATGATAATGTACTATACAGTAAAATAATAAATAAAATATTAAAGACCATAAAATACACAGTTTTCCACTTTTCAAGTTTGCCACCATTTTGGAAAATGGCCGCCATTTTTTAAATAATAGAATTAATATTTTTAACAAATTTTATGATCTTTTTTGAATGTGGATGCCATTTTAAGACTTATTTGACTTAGTTACTCTTCACATTTTTACTATAAACCTACTTGTTTGGGAGCTACATGATGTAAAATGTACACCGGAAGTCATTTTTCCATAGGCTGTAACTCCTAAACGAGTGGGTTTATCGGAAAAATGTCAAAAATGTCGGAAAACATGATAAAGTATAGGGTGTTCCATAAGAAATTTCAAAGTTGACCGCCATATTGGAAAATGGCGGCCATTTACAAAAATTTTATTTAATTATTTTTTAACCTCTTTAAAAACAAGGGAATGTTTCCCATTTAAAGTTTGCTGTAAAATCATTAGTTACTGAGATCCCAATGGTGGCACACTAAAAAAAAAACACCCTGTATGACAAAACTCATCACCCTCTTGACCAATGAAACCTCATTGCCTTAACAATGTACCCACTCTGCTTAGTCATACGAATTAATACTTGAAATTATCATTAAGTATTAATTTGACGTAAAAATGATCAGCAGTAACCTAGAAAATGATAATCACGCAGTACTAGGTTGGATGCCAACCACTAGCAAGCTGGACGAGCTATCTGCAGAACATAAACAATGGCAGTTGTTGGCAGTAGTGTCAGTCTTTGTCATTACGATGTTTTAATGTAGACATGACTGTTCGGGTCGAAGCACAGCTTAAACAAAATGCAATTTTATGCCTTTCAAACTAGAAAGATCCACCTTATGTTTTGAAGTACTACTGCAGTGTACTATGGTTTGGCATAATTCGAACAATACAGCGTTTTATGTTTTTCAAGACAATTGAAGAAGTGATGAGCATGTTTGTATTTTTCCTTTAAAAACACTACCTTATTTAAAAAAAATTGCTGCATGAAAATTCTGTTTGATAATTTTTTATGTATTGTTAAAATTTATATTTTACAAGTACTTTATACGACTTCCTAATGTGGACCATAACCCGTAACCTCAAAATCTATGCAACCTCTAAGTTATCCGAGATTCTTTTAACCGAGGTAGTCTAGGTCACAACAACCTCGGTTAATCGGGATTGTACGGTAGTTTTACTCTGTTTATAGTCTGTCATTGTTGTTTAATTAAATGTGAGATGTTATGATAGGATGATAGAAATAATGTTTTAAGCAAATGTAGATGGATTTAAGTGTTTTAGAGCTGTGATATAATTTGCAAACCGTTATCAGGACTGTCAGAGTGGGAGGACGCTGGTATTGTCGCGCAGGTATTGGCTGCATCACAACAAGAATACCTGGACAATCTCAAGAAAGCCAGGGACGCCAACAACGCACAAGAGGCAGGCACGAGTGTCGTTGACCACCTTCAACCCTCCACTTCCAGTTAACCAACCACCTAACATACCTTTGTCAGTCGCAATAATTTGTTTTCAACTTCTTTATGAAATTGCCATTTGAAAAATATTTTAAATAACTATGGCAGTTAGGATCATATCAAAAATATGGAAATTGCAATTTTTTTACTTTAAGTGTGTGAAACAAGTAATCCAGATTTCTTTCCACTTGGTCCTTTGTAAAGTTATAAATACACCTTCCAGTGGGTGTAAAAGTGAATTGTGGAAAATGTTTTAAACATAGTTACTTATGTTAGTGTTTTATGTTTACAATTTTTTAAACATTTTGGATGCTTCAAAATAATTTAATTTGGTTTTCAGAGGTGAGAAGTTATTGGGTTTTTAATAACTCTAAATTTTAAATTAGTAACTGAAATGTCGAGTTGGTAAAAGCTATGAGTGTAGATAAAAACATGATTTTCCAAAATAAGATAATCTAGAACTACAGGAACTCTGTAAATATGTAAATATAGGAGTACGAAACACCAAATTAATGTTTAAAACATAACCCTAACCAATTTAGTCAATAAGAACATTCAAACAGTGGCAGTAAAGTTTTCATACTATAGTATAATGTAAAGTACATTTTGTTCTTAGAATATTTAAAACAATTACACAAAACTTATTATTCTTGTTTTGTAAGTTTTGATCTGTTTTGAAGTTATCAAGCTTTTCCCACTACTTTCTCGCCTCTACCTTTATTCAATACTTCAATTGCTTTTGTGTTAGTTTAAGATTACCTATCTCATCTGGATAGAAAAGAGATTTTTTTAAGTGGATCAATGGGTTTTATGTGTTTCTCACTTGTGATATAGCTATAATCATTTTCTTAGACTGTTCAGCCAGGGCCGGATCTCCCAATAGGCCCGGGCCTAGGGTGCAAGCTCCCTGGGGGCGCATCCCTGGACTCCTCATCCCATTTTAAATTTTGAAGCTTGTTTTTCGTGTCTAGTTCATGTACGTCTACACTGGATCACTGGGGTTAGATGAAATTTTGTTTCTTTTATTTTAGAGTTATTTTCATGATTTGTGCTAGACTATTAATTTGGTTATATAACTAGGAGATTAGTTATTGTTTATGATTATATTGTTTTATTTGGTTAAATGAGGTTTTAAATGACTGAAATAACAAGAAACAAATTGTAAACAAAGCACAACCTCTATAGTTGGACGTACAGAACTAACAATAAAATTGGCTTCAGCTGTTCCATTAGGATGACAAATCTACTAAGGGAGTATGTTTTATCCATGCTAAAACGTTCCAATTTTGAAGCTCCTTTGAACAAATAATTAATGAGAAATAATTAATTAATTAATAATTAATTGATGGTAAAGTTAATCAATTTTTCAACGTACTTTACAACATGAAACACAGGAGAAGGCTGTAGTAGGATGTTGTCTAGTATTACGTATCGTCTTGCTACTGCTACTTTGCTGGCACGGCTCTGGTGCTACGGCTAAAAAAGTGAGTAGGGGCGCTTGCGCGGGACAATGTGTTATTGTATCTAGACACTGTTACCAACCTTGACCTAGCAAAACGAAAGTTATCAAGAAATATTTTGATTAGCTTAAAATAACCTGCAGTATCAAGCTAAAATACTGTATATAATACAGATTTTTTAGATCCTTTAAAATTAACGAAAAAATAGATTGAGATTGCAATAGGTTTTAGACAGATTCAATACCCTCCAAAAGCGCCATTTAATTCTGCCTTTCTTTCCTCAGGCAGAATCGGTGTGGTTAGCCGGAGGATATTGCTTTGTTTTGCATGGTGAATATAATTTAGTTGCAGTATCACGATTGACTTAACCAACACAAGTGTAGACTTCTCATTACATTGTAAAATCTAAACATTATTTTTCATGTCTAGTTCATGTTGGTGACATTGGGCGCTTGTGTCGACGAAATTTTGTTTATATTATTTTAGGATTATTTTATGATTTGTTTTTGATTCTCTTGTAATAGGGGACGACCCATTGTTTTTGATTAGGGCCTAAATAGTTTTATTTGGTAAAACAAGGTTTTAAATAACATCTGAAATAACAAGATATTGTCTTCAACTGATGCATAAGTCTGACAAATCTACTAAGAGCGGGTGGTATCACGTACTATATGGAGTTAATGTTTGTGCCTGAAATTTGAAGAAACTACGGCAGCAGCAATGGTCAAGCTTTGTTGCAGCTGGTTAGATAGTTTTGTTTCAGTCCCACAAACGTGAGCTCACTGTTTGATACATAAAACTGCTAAACGTGATTAAGGCGACATTTTGTGAAAGCCAGAACCAAGTAAATTCTTCAAAGAGCTTGCAATGTGAAAATTGTATTGTGGAATGGTGTTTTGGAAAGTAAATTTAACTAGATTTAGAGGCGGAAAAACTATTGGGCCTATGGGCACCAAAACGCTATATCCGGCCCTGTTTTCAGCAGTACATTAGTTCAATTTGATCAAGATATTTTGTGATACTTTTAAAGCAACTATTTTTTTTTATCTGATCAATTTAGGAGTTGAATATTGAACGTGTTGGTAACTGCACAATCAAAATGTGGTTTTATATAATTATAGTCTGATACATGCTTGTCAGTCTGGTATGTCTTATTAGTTTTCTTTGTTAACTAAGTCAAAATATTTAATTTTGTTAGACACATTTTAGTTTTATAGCTTTTTTCGTGCATGTACACAAATCAACTTGTTTCTTAGTTTCAAATCTGGATTAAAGATCCTTGGAATTGTTACACGCAAATAATTTTACAGACTTCTAAGATGTATTAAGAAAGTATGACAGCTGTGATTGTTTTATCTTTGTGTTGTTGTTAAGTGTTTTGTAAATATTAAATGAATCAATTTGTATGAAATTACAAATCAAATTGTAAATTCTATTATAAGTGTGTGAGATACATATTTCATGATTAAGTTACATGCAATATGAGGTTTAATTAATGATTTTAAATAAAAAGTGCTTGTGTTGAGACTTCCTCGGAATTTACATCTTTTGTGTAGTCATTCAAGAAAATATATTCATTCCTATGACAACTATGGTAAACGATTGAGGTACTTTTTATTGATGCGTTTTTATTTGTTATTTTAAAAAAATGTTTATTATTTGGCTATTGTCCTTAAAACTGCAGACAAATTTTATAATATTAGGTAGGCCTAGTTGTCATGATCAGTAAATGAAAAAGCTTATCACAATAAGAGTTATTCTTACTGAACTTTTCTTGTCTGTTATTATTACATATTGTTATACTAATAAACCATCTCCTTGAGTGCAATATGATTCTTAATTGTCTCAACTACTTTTAATATGTAGTACAGACTAACTTTGGTAGGCATCCATAACAGGTGGTCCATAACAACCACTAACATTTTGTTCCGTGACAGCTCGACTAATTCATGGGTTAGAGAGATGATTTTTGTGTTGAATGGCTCCTTAATTAATATCATTTTTTGTAATTATAAGTTGGTCAAACAGTTCAACGTTTCTAATGGAGGTGGCATAAAAAATAAATAATAAGGGAAATCTAAGCAATGTTTGTTTTGCGGGGTTAATCAAACCATTTTTACTTATGGAATATGACATCCTCATATGATGTCCACCGAAATCCAAGCATGCAACCAATCTTCTTTGGAAACTCGCAATCACCCTTTGTATCATGGGCCTAGGGTTTTGGCAATTTCTTAAGGATGCTGTTCATCAGATCTGCAATAGTTTGGGGTTTTGTGGCGAAAACCTTGCTCTTCAAGTAGCCCCACAACCAGAAATCACAAGACCAAGGACCTGGAGACCGGGGAGGTGCAACCGGGTGATGGTGAGTTGACGCTAACCGAGGATAGTTCGTCATTGCATAGATTTCACTCATTGTTTACTTTTGTGTCACCTCCAATAGAAAAGTTGAATAGTTTGAACAACTTATAATTACAAAAAATGCTATTAATTAAGGAATTATTCAAGGCAAAAATCATCTCTCTAACCCATGAACTAGCTGAACTCACAAAACAAAATATGTTACCGAAAATTTGAACGAATAGTGTTTTTGGCCGATACCCACTCCATGAACTGGATGAGCTGTTGGGGAAGACGATGGAGGTACAATGTCCAGACGTGTGATGGGAAGAGAAGAGAATGTCCAATCTAAACACTTTTCTTAATGTCGAAACGACGGGTTAGTTTATATGAGCTCAAGAAAATGTTATTGTAGGTAATGTTCACACGCGTTCACGGAAGCCGCACAAGAAGTTCACGTTGAATAGGTGCTATCACTTTTCAGGGAGCTAATACACAATTAAAAATACAATTTAAAAACATAGAATACAATTATGTGTGACACGAAATAAAGAATATGGGGCCTAAGTAGGCTACAATACACTGTTAATAGGGAACTGTCCTGAATCAACCGACCAAAAAATAGAGACTTGATGAACGGGAGTGTTACATCAAGATCAAGGAGCTTTTCCGAAAGACTGATGCTTGTGGGTTTCGGGAATGGACGCGTCCAGTGGCCACATGACCGTCTCGACCAATAAATTTATTGCTATATTTTAGTTTACCAATGAGGGAATACTTAGACCCCTCTAAGCAAGTAATGTTATAGAATAATGGGACCTCTCTCTATCTCTGTGGAAGGGATAACGATAGAAAATTGAAATAAAGCAGTGCTGAGTTGCCTGACAAATAATATTACATCAGAGACTTATACGAAATACTGAACAGTGATATTTTTAATTATGTTACTAATATGTGAACCAAAAATTGCTAAGAATTAGGTTTTCTTTTCTATCCATTGACTTAATTTGTGGTTTATTTCAACAGTTTAAAAACCAATTTGTGTACTAAACTGGTTTGAAAACCATTTTCAATTGCTATGTACTTGATCGTGTTTAGGTAAACACATTTTGGACGAGTGATGAACAATATTTTTCACCATATTACTCTAAACTAACCTAACTGTATAAAACGGTACAAATCCGTTATTTATTCCTACCGACGTAGGACTTGTCTAATTAAAAAACTTTTATAATTATGCTGGTGGTAATCAGTTGTTTTCCGGACCAAATCCTTACGTGAAAAGACCTTTAAATCAGTGTAATGTGGCGGTTGCGAAAAAGTATTAAATCTTAACTTACACTTGATCCTAACTTTTTTACATTTGAAAAATAAGTAGGTTATCTATTTCAGTCACACTTTTTTATTACAATTAAGAAAATTATTAAATTCTATCCTTTTTATGGTTTAATTATATAACATGTTGATGGACAAATAACTGACACAAATATATTAAAAACTATTATTTATGTTCAAAGTCATATGGCAATATAAACAATTATTTATGTTCAAAGTCTTATAGCAATATAAACAATTATTTATGTTCAAAGTCTTATAGCAATATACACAAAAATACTTTACACTTCCAACAATAAAAAGAGACATTTGCCATTTTTACATCGTTGTCCATCCTTGCTGTCATCAAACTCGGGAAGATGGTCGACCCTGTCCGCACATCAACAATGGGAAGTGGTTCTGCATTTAATTCAAGCCTTGGTGGACAAGGATAAGGAGTTGGTGGTTTTTGTTATGATGGTCGTGTCCTCTTTTTTGTTGCTCAGCTCTGGTTACACAGAATTTAGGCTTGGGAAACATGTTGCCTGAAGTGTAGATCAAGAGTATCTTTCTTCAGCAAGTTTATTGCTTTGGCATCTTTCATGTAGCCTACTCTAACCAACTTGGTAATTGCCAAGTCAACAGTATGATCATAATCATTCTTAAGGTCCATTTCCTTGTTCTGATAAAAGTTCTGTAAATGGAAATTAAAAAATCAAGCTTATCGACACCACCCAAACTTTCATTAAAGCTTGATTGCCTCTGTGAGGCACTTTGATAAACTGTTTTATATTTTCATCCCATCCTCTGCAAGCTGGATATAACTCATTTATTGTCATACCATTTAGTTATGGTGACTTTAAAAAACCAAACGGCAAAAGAAACCAAATCAAACCCATGTTAAAGCTGTCGCCAGTTTTAGGATCAAAATGGATGAATGTAGTTGGATTGAGCCAGCAACAGAATGCACTGATGTAAATTTTACTGATTTTTCTCCAATATACCCTACTTTTTAACTTGATATGAATCCATTTTTCTATGGATGCTAACTTTAACATTTCTTATGGAACATCCTGTACTTTATGATATTGTTAGAAGTAGATGCAATTTTAAAAGACTTATTTACTCTTAGCATTTCTTCTCCAAACTTACTTGTTCAGGGACTCCAGAATGTACAAAGCTCTGAAGTAGCATAAGAGAAAAAAAATGTGATGAATGAAAACGTTTTAAAATTGCATTTACATTCTAAAACCATCATAAAGTTTAAGGTGTTCAATAAAAGATGTCTAAGCTAGCCGCCATATTGGAAAATGGTGGCCATTTTAATTAATTAAATATGTACAATAATATGTCTTTTTTTTATTATGTAATTAAGACAGACACTGTGAAATTTTATGGACATAGGATGCAGCCATGCAGCTGACATGTTACTTGTTCCAAGCTATTAAATTTTACAGGTTTAACCATATGAACTCAAATTAATTATATTACTAAACCCCAGCACCAACGTAGGTATAGTGTCATGATTGGAAATTCAACAGAGGAATGACAGAGAATCAGTCATATGGGTGTGGAGTAGAGTCTCAAACTATGGAGTCTTTAGCATTTCCTGGAGGATTAACTGGGCTGCACAACACAGAGAATCAGGACTTCAACCCCGGCTTTGTATTTGGGGGTGTACTTGGGTGCCATACTTGGATTTGTATTTGGCTCTATGGCAGGAGATCTATTTTTGCAATATTGAGTTCCATATTATTTATTTGATGGTTTCAACTAAACTCTTTATCAGGTAATATGAACCTATTACCATACCTAATTGATATGAAAGCCAAACCATATCTGATAAATATGGGGTCCACGAGTCTAAATTATGTTTATGACATGCTCTTAAAAGCAAATTCTATTAATACCACTGTTTTTCCCCTAAACCATAGTATATGGAGAAAGTATTGTTTTTGTCAATTTTTTTTTAGTTTCAGTGGATATAGGCCCATAAAATAAAGGAAAATCGTATTCCGGTTTTGATTAAAATTAGATTTTTATGGTCCTTCCCTAATTCCAAACAAAATAGTGTTCCCTATAAAATACTCCCACCGCTTACAGTAGTCGCAGTTAGTCTGGGCGCGCGGACCCTAGTGTACTACCCGTCCTGAGAATTACGGCTCACTCACCCCCACAGCCCACAACCCTCAGCCGCTGCACTGACGGCTTGCCGTGTGGGCCAGATGTTTTTGGAAATGAGCAATAGACACCCCCAACCATAGTGCGGCCGCACGCCCAGACTAGCTGCGAATACTGTACCCATGATAAAGGTTGTTTACTAGCTAATGGGAAAAAGTATGAGTCAGATTGCTGATACCGTTTATTTTAGACTAAATGCAGAATCTGAGCATTTAAATGATAAAATTTGAATAGCCTCCAAATATAATTTGCCGGAGTAGTATAGTGTCATATAAACGGTATTTACATTACATTAATGTAAATGTAATGTAAATAGGTACCGTTTATTTTAGACTAAATGCAGAATCTGAGGTGTGAATATAAAAATAAAATTTGAATAGCCTCCAAATATAATTTGCCGGAGTAGGCCCTCTGTTAACCGACTCAAGGCAAATAAACCATCTAACCAGACAACTAGAAGAGGTTTATTTACCCCAAACTCTACCTAGAATTTTAAACTGGTTGTCTTAAACCATTTTAAACAACTTTTTCTGGGAATCTGGAGACTTCTGTTCCAATCCTTATTGCAGTAATAAAATATAACAGTGTCTGTGTTACCTGTACAGGCTAGTAACCGCATGAAAAAATTAAGTAGGGAGAAATTAATGACTTGATTTTCCTAACATCCAAAGCTTTTAACATACCATTTCCATTATATGCATTGGAGATTCTCTTTGGTTGGTAATGTTGATCTAATAGTAAGTAATGTAGTAAGTAGTTAAGATGTTAGTAAGTTAACAATAAGTGATTTGAGGATTATAAAATAAAGAGATTCAAAGTACAGTACATTATATCTTAATTAGCAAAAGATAATAATTTCATTTTTGGTTAATATTTTGCCTTTTTATTTCATGGAAGTCTGCGCTACTAATTCATGTAAGAAATAATGAAACTACTAACAGCAGTTTGTTAATAGTAAAAATGTGTTTTATCCATAGCTAAAATCAA